ACGTTAGCATGCCCATGTCATGTGAGACTCCTTTTCGACTATTCAGCCAGTCTCATAGTAAAAAGCGTTGTTGCAGTTGTTGTGGATGCTGGGGAGTGTCAAGGAGGATGGGTCTGGCGCAGCGCCAGCCAATTGTTGAAGTGGGACAAGCGATAACAGTTGGTGGAGAACTGGTTCGCGCCGCGTCAAACCCACCCTCCCGGACACGCCCCAGCATGTGTTTAGCTGTTAAGATCATTTCTGTCAAATGTATCTTTGAATCGTTTGGAGTTACTGTTTGTTTTTGTTAACTTGATTGTTTACTATTTGTTGAAATATAAAGAGTTCACTTATCCGAGAGCTGGAGAGTCCGGTAAACAAGTACGGTAGATGGACAGGCTTAAAGTTTGGCATCCTAGGTGCCTGCTTCCCGCGAAAGCTCGGTTCCATTAGCAGCTGGGTCTCACTGGAGCTGGCCCAGCGGGACTTCGTAGTTGGCTGCTGGAAGGCGGAGTCCGGTTCTGCCGTGGAATGCCTTTTTCTGATTGCTGGCTCCCCATCCCCTCCTCCCCTTGTTGACAGCGCCACTATCTACTACTTGTGGTTGGTGGGGGCTGTCTACTTCCTCCTTTGCTCGTTGACAAAATTTTGAGAAAATTTGGGAAGATGGTAGGTAGGGTGGAAAATGGAGTCGTACCGGAAAAGGAAATGGGGGGGGGGGACCGAATTCCGGCAAAGCTTTATCACATGTGCTAACCAGTGCCCTGTGCCAGCCCTGTAGCATAGGGTGAAATGCTAGAAAAGAAAGCTGCGTGTATGAGCAGTTAGCCTTAGGAGGGGCGATCGGAACGTAAGCAAACGAGGGTGGATAGTCATTTCAGAGTTATTTTAGAGTTGTAGCTTGGTGAAGTATCCCTCATCACTAAGTTCGTAGTTGTGTAAAATGTGAATATTCAAGAGGTAAAATCGTTTTGTGAGGGGAGGGGAGGCGGTAGGCGGCGATTCTATCGTGGGTCGCCAATGCAGCGGTGGGCGCGGTCTGTTACGCCGCAGCCTTTGCGCACGAGCTGAGTTGTAACACGCCTAATCAAATTATCAAAGAGATTCATGGCATTGCTACTCTGAAGAACACACCGAGAACGACTCGTGTGGATACGGTTATGCAACACTGACGTCGCCGCGCGACTTGCGGTTCGCGACGTGAACGATACGACATTTTCAGCTCACGATAGAGTCGCTGCACCCCCCCCCCCGCTTTTTTGGGTGGTCTGGAATGGAAACAAATTCGAAAACTGCAGTTCAATCTGCTTGAAAAACCCATAATGCCGGAGTTTCAACGTGGTTCACCATATAAATCCGGTACAAATTTGGACCAGGTCGTACGTCACGGAATCCCCAGTGGAGTTCGTTTTTGGTTCTTGGATCGTGAGACTTCTGCTCCCCTCGGTGATGAAGCCGCAGAAGTTCTCTGTTTCTGAGTTTCTGATAGTTGGCATTAGTAACTGGTGGCTGATGACCCTGACGCCCTCCCCCCCCCGCTCGACAGCATGGAAAACAGGAAATTTCCGGGAAAACACTGGAAGAAAGATAAGAAGTTGGGGGAAGTACAGGAAAGGTTTAGCTAGGTTGGGGAAGGGGTCGTCACAGTGAAGGCAATAAGGCGGCATCGTATCTTCCGAAAACTCTCCCAATCGCCAGGAGTGTCTGATTGCGGTTTGGTCCCTATGTCGTTTGTCGAGCAATCGTTCATACAGTTATCAAATTTAGCAGCATTTCATCAGACAATATCGTGTGGTCAAGAAAAAACGAGTTCTAATTCGGCACGTATCACCGAGGCTACAACAAGCGCCCAAATATGGATTTGGTGGCTATATTGGGTGCTATCCCATCTGGTGCCTCGGATCTCGCCGATTGCAACGCTGACAAATCATTCGCAATTTTCCCAAGTACGAACTCTACTCAGTTTTGTTACTGCTTTCCATTCTCGGAAATTGTGCAGTAACCTGCGCAGTAGCATAATAAAAGTAAAAGCGTAGCCATAAACGTCCTGAGACGGCCCTCGAAAATCGGCGATTCATTGAAATGGCCTTAACACACTACATTTACGAGCGCGCTCGGCACTATTGAATGATTCCTACCCCAGTGACCTCCTGAACATGAACATCACATCCGCTTGGCCCGGAACCACCAGGCACCCGCGCCACATGCGCCGGTGCCAAAATATTTTAAATCACCAAACTTGATTGACACTTGTTCCTAGGGGTAGCATAACTTCTTGAACGAGACGATCACATACAGTCCTCATCATTGCGGACTGTCGGAGGGCGGCTGTGCAACGCGGTCCAAATGGGCGTTCGGCCTCGTTGCTCTACCAATGGCGATCGATTTAGGGAGGGAGCAACCAATGATGGAAACGCCGCAGGTGCGAGCCGCAGACCCGACAATTGCGGTGATGCAAAGTGTACGCTTGGCACGAAAGCGTCTGGCGGTCGCGCCACATGCCAAAACGCCCTAAATCACTAAAATTGATGAGAACTTCTTTAGGTGCTAACGTATTTGGGGGGGGGGACCACGCGGCGAGCGGCGAGCGATGACTCA